ACTTCTTTAAATGCCTGAGATGCTCTCACCTTATCCGTTATGGTATCAATGCAGCCTGGGAATTTGGACCATGCCACTTGTCACTTAGGGGGGCTTGCAGGATTTTCTGGGAGGCTCATTTGGTTTCAAGGTGCAGAAGAGTAGCAGATTCAGAGAGAATCTAAAGCCAAGTTTACCCTGTTTTAAATTCAATGGAATTAGTGTGGATGAAACAGTGACATGTAGTTCAAGGCCCTGTTAGCCTAACCTCCCTTGGTAGATGGATGGAGACAATAACAACATACTAAGCGTGCTTGAGTTGGTGGCAAAGAATGTAACTGTCATGTCTGCAGCCTAATAATGATTACCACCTTAAACTATTTTATCCACTTATACTGATCCATAGCAGGTAATGAACCTGTTTAGTGTAGCATCAGAGGAGGGGTTGGTTTTTAATTGTAGATATTTTAAAAAAAAAAAGAATCTAAATATCTGCATTGATCACAAGAAGAGTCCACACAGCACGGATGTTATGTTTCCTCAGCAGGCATGAGGCCTTCTTAGTACACAGCAGCGTTTGTGCCCATCTGCATGTTTTCAACCCAGAGATACGAGGATTGAACTGCTGAGATCGTTCAGAGATCATAATCACTTTTGTGTGTGTTTTGTCACATAGTTTAACAGCTAATATCCTGTGGTATGTGTTGGGGATTAGAGGAGAAGAGTAATATGCACAGCCACTGACCTTTTATTAATTCAGAAGTCTCCTGTTGCCCCAGGGGACACTGAACAAAATAGGACGCTGGTGTCTCCTACACAATGAAACATAACAAAGTGTGCTTTCACTCTGAATGGAGATCTTTCTAAACGGTGCTTTACAATCTGATTCTTATTCACCTATTTGCTTTCCATCAAGAGCAACTTTTGGTTCGTCTTCTTTCCCAGAGATGCTCGTGGCAGCTTGAACTGAACTACCAAGCTGCTCTACCTAGGAAACCTAGAGATGGTGACAGGTTGACAGGATTTAATGAAGCAAGGGGACACTTGATATACTCGGGCTCACAGAGCCAAATCCTAAGAGGACTCATAATTACTGTAAAAGCCTCTCGCTCCTAATGATGACAGTGAAGCAGCTGCAAAGCCCGAGCTCTTTTCGATCATCACTCAGATGGATGCGCGTGGTGGGGGTTGACTAAAAATGTCATGCAATTATTCGAGAGAACATGATTTCTTGGATGTCCTTCAGGGTGGCAAGGTTAAAACCAGGTCATTCCTCTGTGTGGAGTGCATGAATGTGCTCAGATTTGGATATTAATGGAAAACCCAGTGCTCAAGATTGGAATTACTTATCGATCCCGTGACCTTCTTTGTGTGTTATGAAGTAACATTTCAGTATACGGTTTATATATTGCAGTCAGCCATACTGGACCAATCCCCACCAGTTAAATGATTTCTGTTATTGATTGAGCCACGTGTAATTGCTGCTAATACTGATCTTTGACCCTGTTGAGGTTTTCAGCTGACCTGAAGACATAAGATGAAAATAAAGATGCATGACTGTGATTTTTTTTTTGTTAAATACCATCACTGAGCTCTACTAAATAGTCTACAATCAATTTTGAGCATGCTGTGCACTGTAAAATTTGAAAAGTTGGCTTTACTTTAAAAGATATGCACACAGATTGTGTAAAAATATGACTTCAACCTAGCAGGAGCGAAGCAAGAGTGAGTTACAGCTGGAGTAAAACGCCTCTAATTTTGTGTATGCAATTCAGTGTAATCTGCATGTGATGCAAGCATCATCTCTGTGCAGACTCGCCATTCATGAAGGCAGTCATGCTCCAGAATTTGTTAAGTTGTCAGAAAATCTCAGAGAATCTGTCAGGAAAGGCCGAGTCTGTGGATCGATGGGCCCTCTACTGCTGCTCTCTCACCTCTTGTTCCTTTGCCCTTGCCCTCCCTGTTCATCTCCTCCCATTACAGAGTCCAAGTATGTGAGGCCACCGCTCAGGTTCAGCAGGCACTGTCTGATCCGATCTTGCCTGTCTGCAGCTGCTTCGTTTGTTTAACAAGCTCGTCTTTAATCTAATCTGCAGTCGATGACGCGGTACATAAGTTGCCCTTAGCGTGGAATATTCTGTTTTATTCGCTCGTGTGTGGAAAAGTTTCAGGTGCAGAATGGTTTTAATTAGCCTGCAGATTATTTGAAACAAAGAAGTCATTCATTCCAAGCTGGATTGTGAGCCTATCCCACCTGCTACACAATCATGATGTCATGGCAGTCCAATTAGGAAAAAGTGACTCCCACTGGAGCCTCAGTCCCCTTCATTACTGCAGTCTGACATGTTGCCTTGTTCCCGCTAACGCTGAAATACCAAATCAGTCGAACTTTGTTGGATATTTGTGGCTCATTTTGACCAAAGAACTGGCTCACTGACACGCCCTGTGCCTTTCTGTGCAGGATACAAATTACAAACATCATTTCCAAGAAGGTCTCTGTGTACAGTATGACATCTGCTTTGGCTATTGTTCTGTCTGCAGCTGTCTGGTTGTGTTTGGTTTCAGTTTTTTACAACTAAATGAACTTTGGTTCCAAAGGAAAGCGAAAATAACGCATTTCACAACAATTCAGTGATTAATGTGGACATTTTCAGTTCGCTTTCTCAGTAAATCATTTGAAGATCCAACAGCTACAATTCTGACTTGTTACTCAGGGCTGGAAGTTTCTTGCATGCGAACAAGCTCTGCGTTGAGCTGCTGAATGAAGCTTCTGTCCAGATTAATAACGCAGCTGACGGCTTTTTGCTATGACACCCCTTTTCCGTTTGGGCTTTAAACAAATAGAGCTTGACTGTAAAATGGAAACATGGATGATTATACAATACAGTAAAAGTGGACCGTTGATTATTTAAGCAAAAACTGGTGTATTTGAACAGGATTTCATATTTCCTCACTGATAAGCCTGCGTGTTCTTCTTCAGGTCCCATAAAATATAAAATATGCGGCTTTTTATTATGTTTCCAAGCCATATCTTCCAGATGACCTTATACACCTGCTTCTCATTGCAGTACTTCAGAAAAAGACGTAGCACTCTCTGTTTAAGGCAGATGTAACTGAAAATATTAAGTCCGTGGTGAAGAGGAGGGCTGATGTTGTTTGGTTCTGCTGACCTCACTGACAGAGCGGCTCTGTCTCTGGATAGCAGATGTTCCCTGGAAGTGCATGTATTCATTTCATAAGGGAGTCGACGCCAGCTAGCCCGGTCAGGGTCAGCCTGGGTCTCGGGCTCTTCATTTAGCAGTTTGCCAGGAGACGCTGCAGCACTGAAAGAATGTGTGAACAGTGCCTATTTTGTGATTTAAAGGCTGCCCAGGGTTTTGCCTCTGCCGCCTCTAGACTATTTATACCAGTAGCTGTCCTGCCAGGGCTGAATGAGCTGGGAAACATCATCCCAAAGCCCAGGAGAAATGCAAGCACTCTGGTAGCAAAGGCTGTTGTTTTTTCAAGCTCCTGTTGACAGAAATTCCGACATGAGAGAAACTCTTCACAGTTTTAGACTGTGCCTAATGATAGAATATTTTATTTTCTGAACTGTATTTTGGTAGATCCAACTTTTTTAAAAATGTTTATTCTTGCCTGTAACTTAAAATACCCATACTCCATGGGCAAAACAAACATATACTAAACAAACTCTAAAGTGTAGGCAGATAAAAAGATTATAGAAAGCACACCATCAGGTTTCCCTCCTTGCACTGGTGCTGGTCCTCTTCAAACATAAATCTGGAACTTTTTCCTTTGTTTATCAAAGATGTGGCAGGAGCTGTGACACTATCGAGATGAGAACAAGAGATCAAAAATGGGTATTTTCCATTTAATCTTCTCATGCAGCACAGTCACATTAACGATGCTCACCTTTAAGCATCAGCATCCAAACAATCACATTCAATCCAGTTATTTTAAGTCTTTATTCTCTGATTCACTGAGTCATGATGAGCGGGCTGCTTGAATGAATACTGTACATGCTTTAGCTACTGCTGGAGTGTTTTAGGCTCTGTTTGAAATCACAGGCAACATCTGAACAGCAACCCACTGTTACACAAAATAAAATGTTAATGTGCTCCTGCTGTTTAGGTGTTTAGCCGCATAGAATTGGATTCAGAGATTATCTTTAGTGATGATCATTCCTTTAAAAGTAACTGTGTTTGTACAGAATAAGAACTGCTTGCTTTATGAGCATTACAGAAATACAGACCTGCAAAAATGACACTCAAACCGCATTTTGATTATGATAGTGCCGCCAATTTGTTACACCCGGCTGCTTCTCCTCTCTCCACCTTAAAAAAAGAACCAGCAAGCGACTGTACACTCAAAGTGATGCTTTAAAGGTCTGTAGGAAATATTTCGGTAAGCGCAAAAACTGACTCGTGGAACGCGGACAGTGCACTGAGTTGAGCTAATTTAACACATGACATGTATGTTATATTCTATTGTGCATTTAATACACACATTCTTACTTAACCCTTTATGCCACTTTTGATTATAGGCTAAAACCCCCGCATGTAGTATTATTGGTAGGGTGTTTTGCCACTTTGCAGCCCTTTGGTGATGCCCTCAGGCACTAATTTGTGCAATATCAGTGATGTTCTACATTAACTTATATGTTATGTTATGTTTTCCTCCAAGATTTAAAAGTGGCATGTATAAAATTACCATAAAGGCATCAGAGTCATATGTGGACTGAGTACAGCTAGCCTAACAGATACACAATACTGTTTGTGTGCCCTACAGTATTTTTTGATTGAAATCACAGTTTGTATTACTTTTATCAAATGTAAAGGTTCATATCAACGTGAAAACTGAAGCCCCCACACTCACTACAGTGTCCATATATATCACAGAAATCACCTTCCTACTGCGGTGCTATAATTTACAAGCAGCACTGAACGCGGCGTGTCCCCATTGGCTGGTGCGGGTTCATTGAACCCCCTCCTCTACCTTTGTCAGTTCCTTGCGCTCCCGTTGAAACGCCTGGTTGTTGTTTCCCGGGGCTTGAAGGAAGGAGAAGTTACCTCTGCTCTGCCGCAGGTTTTCGGGACACCAAGAGAGAGGACAGCGGGATCTGCCGAGGAAGCTTTTCTTTCCCCTGTGACCACCCGGCTGGCCGTTAAACTGAATGGAGTAGCGGGATAAAAAGGCAGGAGGGATTTAACCTTATCCATCACCTTGTAAAGCACGGCGCGGTGAGAGCGGCAACGTGCAGCACTGCTGCGCTGGATTGTGTAGGGAGCAAACAAGGGAATAACACAAACAGAGATGGTTTACTACCCGCGGGGACCTTCACACACACCACTGCTGCTACTGCTCCTCTGAACTTTTCAGTCCTAGAAGTGCGCAGACGAGAAGGGGGTTAAGAAAAAGGGGCTCGTTCTTATCAGCAAGAAGGGATTAATGATGCCGGACCAAATCACAGTTGCAGAGTTTGTGGCAGAGACCAATGAAGATTACAAATCGCCGACCGCCTCTAACTTCACTACCAGGATGTCCCAGTGTAGGAATACAGTGGCTTCCCTGGAGGAGGTGAGTGATGGTAGCCCCTTGTTTTGCAAACATAAATGAGTTATATTCAGATTTTCCAGTATTGGCAGGTAGTGACGTAAACGGTTACCACTCACTTACACATCCCTTAACCTTTATATTCACGCTTTGGTAAGCTCAGACATCATTAATTAGATGTTTATTACTGTTTTGGGTCTACAATGTGCTCTGGTTGTAATTCAGTTTAATTTTAATGTCCAATTAGAGATCAGTCCTCAAAGGTTTGCACAACATTTACAACATAGCTATCCGTAAACCCCCGATTCCCCAAAATGGAAGGAATCTAAAAATGTATAACAGAGGAGGGGTTCTCTTTTCTAAGAGGACTATACATGCAATAGATGTCTCATGTACAGAGTAAATGAATGAGGTAAATTAGGGGCTGTGAGAGGATTTTAAAAAAGAAAGAAATCAGTCAAATATACACGACTTTTCACTGTTCCTGCACAGAGAGGACTTTGTGTTCTCCTTTAACTTGCAGGTCATCAGGAGGAAGGACACTTCCGTTTTGTTTCCTGACAGCCCTCTGCTGCCTCCCTCCCTCTCTTGTTGTAGTTTCCCTACTTTGTGTACTGTGATGGCAGAGCCTCGCCCTGCCTCCTGGTAAAAATAGAATTTCCCACATGAGTAGCTCCGTTTATGTGTGTTAGTGTGTCGCTGCTTTGTTTGCCGTTGGGTGGCATGTGGAGGTAATGGGGGGTTTAATTCTGGTGTCATTAAGAAAAAAGTTTTGGAACTGGTGCAGTCATTTTTCCATCCAACACCTTTTTATTTAAAAAAATAAATAAATAAAAATGACAAGATGAGGGAATCTGGTGGCTTAGATAATCCACATATGGGCTCAGTGTCAGCTTAAGCTTCCTGATCCTCCACACCTTGGTGAGGGTTGTGGCTTCATTTTTAACCTGTGTATATGTGTGTGTGCGTGCATGGAGGACTGAGCCACGGAGGACTGAGCCAGGCAGACGGTCACACACCTGCTCTAGCTGACAGGTGCTTCTCCTTGGCATCAGCCACCATTCTGCACATAGTTTGCCTCAACCTTTTCATTTATTTATTTATTTTTTTGCTGCTGCTCATTTTTTTTTTTAAAATAGCCACTAATCTCCAGTTGGGAAGGGTTTTCAGCACTGCTCGAATGTCATTTCCCGTAGAAGTAAACATAAAAGTGTTTTTTCTCTTCTTAAATAGCAGGTCAGCTGTAATTGGTGGCTTTGAGCTTGAATTGTTGGGTTGAGAGACTAATTCAGCAGCTTTGTTTTAGAGTGCTGCTGCCGTTGAAGCCGCTGGAGAGGCGCACAGAGTGGCGTGTTGTTGTTTCACATTGACCTGCCCAAAGCCGAGGCTCAGGGAACACAGGGCCTTATTGTTGGGCCTAGCGGAGCTCGCTCACTTTGGTCTGTTTGACCAATTAAACGCTGCAGTGGAAGGGGAACACTTCCTCTCATTGTCTGCAGGCCTGCCTGGAATTTCAAGCGCATGCACGCAAACATAAACACATTTACATACACATGCGTGCACGAGCACCTGTTAGTGGTGCACATCTTCCTGGTGGCTCATCTTGGAAAAAACTGACTAGCAGTCAAATGGACAGCGTACTTCACGCATTTAACCTCGAGTATAATAATACACCTGCATACTGTCTAGTCATGAATGCCGGATGAAGATTTTATACTGCTGTTTTCAGCATTATATTTCTGTTTGCTGTACAAGTGCTCATTTCTTTGCTTTTACCCTTCAGCTGACAGTCGAGGACAGAGCAGCAGTGTACTCTGTGATGCTACAGTGGGTTGGTATATGATTTCAGGTGACACTTGTGAGCTTTGTTTCCCTGTACAAGCTCCACTCGACAAGTAGAGCTTCCCCACTAAAAATGTGTTTTTATAAAATGACCACACTGCTATCATTTGCACAAAAAATGCATTTTATGGGGCAGTAGTGTATCGTGGTATCTCCTGTTCCACTGCTTTAGGAGCTTGCCCACCATTATAACTTGGCAATGGGTTATTTATTAGTAGAAAGGAATGATTACTAGTGTTAAAACAGTCCTGTTTGCTGTTTGGGAAAATACAGGAGGTTTATCTGCTTTATCCTGTACTGTTTTGGAGATGCAAACTGCTTATAAACCTGTACGCTGCACCTCTTTGGAAGGTTGCATCCAATAATCTGTTTCCCTAATGAAGCCTGTTGTAAAGTACCTGATGGGCTTACAGTCTCAACTTCTTTAAAGGCTCTGATCTTTGTTTCTGGCTGTTTATAGAAAAGCTTTAAACATGTTAACCAAAGCGGAGACTGCACCGCTCTGAGAGTTTATGTAAACGGGTGCACATTGTTGTGTAATTATTTCTTTCCAAACTTAATTGCATCTGACAGAATCTTAATTAGGCTAGTAGTTTTAAAGTGCTGGCTATTAGGAGGCCATTCAGAGAGCTTGTGCGCATGTGGGTGCTCGTTTGTAAAAACCACAACAATAAAAAGCTGTTTATCCAGTAAGAGGATATTGGGCTTTGTGTCATGGCCCCCCTCTGTGCTCATGTAAAACACTTGTGCTGACTTTGCTCTGGGCACACTTTTCAGTCGAGATGTAGGATCTGTTTTTCTTTATTTGTAATAATCTGTAATAGTTTTTTCTCATTCCTTATTTAAAAATATGACACAGAGGCAGTCGTTATTATGTCAGCTGTCAGGGTTTTTTTTTTTTTTTAATGAAGCAACCAAATATAACACAGACTGTGCATATCAGGAAAAACCATGAGCTCAAGTGGAAAGCAGGACTTGCCCTGAGGGATGATCTGATCCCTGTCTATTGATCACGCTGCAGAGTCATGTACTCAAGGCTCACTCAAGGAGAAACTCATGAGTATGTTTCGCTGAAGTCAGAAATTGGCACACATTGTAGTCGTCTCAGGTCTGTTTTTGCACCTTTTTTTTTTTTCTCTTTCAGCTACTAAAGGCTGCCTGGCAGACAGACACCTAAAACAGCTGCAATCAATAGTTGTCTCCAGGAACGAATCTCATGTGCTTTCACTTCTATCTTTGGCAGCAGTACCTGGTAGTTTCGTGTACTGTCACTATGTTGCGCTTGAAGCTCACAGAGGAGGTTAAAGGATTACTAGTACATTCATTCTGTGGTAAAGTGGGTCACTTACTGGGTTCGCGATGTGTAACATCAACAGTCCTCTCAAACCGTTGGCTAACGGTATGAAAGAGATGTTAGTCATACTTTAGACTGCTGAGCAGCAGCGTCTGGGGCTGTAAAACAGCCGTCACTGCTTGATATTCAAGACAAGCTTTTGTGTTCTCAGCCCTTTGATCAACCCTTTGCAGGCAGACACATAATATCCGTTATGACATTACAGCTGCTTTCTCATTTAAAGTTGTTTGACAGGTAGAGTGCTTGCCTCCCCGGTGTAGCTTCTTATGTAAAAGTATCCCTAACTTGTTCTTTGACCTCAGTATATTTGTCTTTCTGTTGTTGTATAGTTACATGATATGTGTGTTGCTTTTGTGTGTGTGTTTTCTTTTCTTTTTTATTTTAAGGATCATGTAAAACATTGTCCACCACAATATACACACACACAACAAAGGAAGACAATTACTTCATATAAAGTAGCATAAAGTATTTATGAAAGGCCACTTATCATGCAAGTGTTTCAACATTTGACAAAAAGACACCTTACAGCTTGCTCTAAGTGCGTGGTTTAGGTAAGGCCTCAGTTAAACAAGACTAGAGGGGGAAAATGTTTATCTCCTGGCTGTTTGTGACTGGTAGCTGGCACTCACTGTGAAATTGACTGCTAAAGCCCTGCTCACACAGACCAAGAGAGTGTTAAGTGATCTCACTGTTGACCACAGAGTGCTAGGGAGAACTTTATATTCTTTAACCTGTTGAGGTTTCTGGCAGTCGCTGGAGTGAAATTGGCTGCAAAGTTCAGTAGATGGTACTGCACCAAAAACCTTCCCGTGATTGCTTTAGTTGCAAGTTGGGTGCGGTGGTTGACAATAGTTTTCATGGAAGGTGTCAACTTGTCTGCAAACACTCGCTGTTTACTGTACATTGTGTTTACTTTGGTTTACAGTGAAACTGCGATGCAAGCCAGAAGTGGAGACCGTTCACTTTCAAAGTAACAGTTGCTTACTGCTTCAACCAGCACTTTCCAAAAGGTGCAACTTTTACTTTGAAAGTCAACATTTCTAATTCTGGTTTGCATCACAAGCGTTTGTTACAAGTCACCATCTTTCATGCAGTCTACAGGCAACCATGGTGATGAACTACAGACCAGTTGCAAGGAGGTTGTTGTAGGTCTGTAGCTTACAATGTGAAGCTGTTGTTGTGATTTGGTGCTATGTAATTAAAGTTAAATTGACTTGCTACAGCAGCCGGTTTCACCTGGTGACAGCCGGCAATGTCTAGAAACCACTTGCCATCTGGTTGAGGAATACATGCTTTTCTGTAGCACCAGCAGTTTTAAGGGCATTGTCAACTGGGCTCGATGCCATTCTAAGTGACGTGTCAGGATACCGCGTGCAGGATGCAGCACCAAAGACATCTATTTGCCCATGCGTGCATACAGAGTTTATGCAAGGCAGGTTAAACAACAGGTTAAAGATCTGCTGATGTCCGATCAGGCGGATTAAAATTTGCATTTTTACATGCACTTCCATTGGTTCAAGAGCCTCAGGGCTGCAGTGCTTTTGTGAAAACGGCTCAGGTTACTGAGCCAGAAAACTTAATGAACCATGACACGGAGCAACTAGAGGTCCAGTCTGAAGCTTTAAGTGACTTCAAGCTCATTGAAATGCTAAAAAAAAATCAGTTTCTTGATGTAATGGCAATAATAAATGACTGATGCAGAATACTGCATGGCTTATGCCCTCTAATACACCCACTCAGTGGGCCTCTCCTTCTGGCCTCTATCTCATTGTTAAGTTTATTCATTTTTCGCAGATGAATAACGGTTATTTATAGCCAAGTCAGCTTT